GCCACAAGCGATGCGCCGAGCGTACACTCCGTGTTCTGGAAAAGAATGGATCGATTTTCATCAAATTGGGCCAGCACCTCAGCAGCATGGGCTACCTGCTTCCCATCGAATGGACCTCGACCTTCATACCCCTCCAGGACAGATGCCCTGTCTCCTCAATTGAGTCAATTGGCGAGTTGTTCCGCAAGGACACAGGCCAGAATATGAATGAGTTGTTCGCCTCTTTTGAATCGACACCTATCGGTGCCGCATCCCTGGCACAGGTGCACATTGCTACGTTGAAGGAAACCGGGCAAAAGGTCGCTGTGAAAGTCCAGCATCCCGCGCTGGACGAATGGGTGCCGTTAGACTTGGCTTTGACTCGATTCACTTTCTCCATGCTTAAGCGCTTCTTCCCTGAATATGACCTGGAATGGTTGTCCAAGGAAATGGATTTCTCGCTACCGCAAGAGCTGGACTTCCGCATGGAAGCTCAGAATGCTACTCATGCCAGCGAGTACTTCAAAAAGCACTCCAATGCCCCATTGGTCATCCCCGAAGGTTCGTGATGCTGCCAATCCTGTCTTTATATGTATAACTTGGAGCTAACTAGGCCCCAGTGATGTGGTCCCAAAAACGTATCCTCGTCATGGAGTACATCGCAGGCCACCGCCCCGACGACCTGGAGTATCTGGACGCCAACCACATTGATCGCGACGAAGTCTCCGCCGCTCTCGCACACGTCTTCAACGAGATGATCTTCGGCGACAACGCCCCACTCCACTGCGATCCTCACGGCGGCAACATCGCCATCCGCCCGAACTACACGCGCTCACACCCGAACTTCGACATCGTCCTCTATGACCACGGTCTCTACCGCACCATCGACCGCGACCTACGCCGCAACTACGCCAAGCTGTGGCTAGCCGTTATCGACGCGGACGTGCCACGGATGCGCGAGTTCGCGTACAAGGTTGCCGGCGTCACGGACAAGCAGTTCCCGCTCTTTGCTAGTGCTATTACCGGTAGAGACTACAGCGTTCTCACGAAGGAAAGCGTCGTTTCTTCGCGGACAGCTAAAGAGAAAGATGATATCTCCGGTGCGTTGGGCGAAGGCATGCTGCAACAGCTTGTTGTCTTGCTAGGCCAGGTACCGCGGATTATCCTTCTTATATTGAAGACCAATGACCTCAGTATGTGTTTCACTTTCGACGCTCAATTCTTTTGGATATCATTGACTAACTCCCTCCCAGCTCGCAGCCTAGACGAAAACCTTCACACACGCCAGGGCCCAATGCGCTCTTTCCTCATCCTCGCCCGATATGCCACGCGCACTGTCTTTGAAGAGCAGTTAGAGCTCATTAAGGAGTCTGGCGGTGTCTTCCGCAACTTCCTCCGCTTCATGTATGCCTACGCGAGCTACCTTCGCGTTGAGGTCAAATTGTCTGTTTATGAGACTGTGCTGTCATTGAAGACTCGCTTCGGCCTTCGGAGCGGTTAGACGGTGTTTGTTTTGTGGATGGCTTGCCCTTGGTGCCTTTTCTTCGTTTGTTTTGTTTTTCCATTATATCCCCCCCTTTTTTTTTCCCTTGGTTCATTGGCACGGATTGTCTTGAGTGGTCTGTCTGTGCATCAGCGATGGCGTTCTATATTTCTTTATACATATGGCCTCTTCATCTCTTGACTGGATGGTTAGAGGATGGGTTGTTCTGTGTTTCCGGGCTTCGTTCTGCTGTCCACGGGTGTTCTCGCAGAAAGGCAAAGATCCAGTGTGGTCTTGTACAAATAGATAGATTGTGAATAAATTATAAATCATAGATTGCTTCTGATATTACTTCCGAGTCTACTTTTACAAAAGGTAACTGTTCTGGTTTCACTGTTTCATTGGAAACTATCAAGGCCCTGCTTTTCAGAAAATGGAGATGAGAGTATCGATCAAGTATCCCATATACCGAGGCGCCATCGCAGAAAAAAAGAAAAACGTATCAGAACGTGAAAAGAAAAAGGGAATATGTACATCAAACAATTGGGCGATTTGTTCGTTTTCATCTCATCCATCGTCATCTCTTGGCGCACATTTTCAGCGACACCAAATACAACGAATCCCAAATGCACACCAGTTCTTGTTGATTTTCTCCGACAAAAACAAGCATCCTTGATCAAGTGATTGTGTATTAAGACGACCTCGGAATTAAAAATCGCAGAGTTCGTCAAAGGAAACGAATAGGTTGCGTCATTCAGATGGAGAATCCATCCGACAGCATCACACCGTCAAAGCAAAGAGAAATCAATTTAAATGGAAGCAGCAGGGCTGCCAGTCTCAACCTTAACATCAGGAATGACGCCGCCCGTCCCGGAAAGATCTGTGGCACGGGTGTTGGGGTTCTTGGTGTAGTAGTTGGCAATGGCAGACTTGATAGCGTCCTCTGCGAGCATGGAACAGTGCACTAAATATATGTATTAGCATATGAACCGAACAAATCCATCACAGAAGAAAAGACATACGCTTGACAGGAGGCAGACACAACTCCTTCGCCACATCGGTGTTCTTAACCCTTCCAGCCTCGTCGAGGGTCATACCGCGGACGAGCTCGGTCAGATAACTGGATGAAGCGATAGCGCTACCACAGCCGAAGGTCTTGAAGACGACATCATCGATACGGCCGGAGTCCTTGTTGACGCGGATCTGCAACTTCATGACATCGCCACAGGCGGGTGCGCCGACGAGACCGGTACCGACGTCCTGGTCACCCTTCTGCATGGAGCCGACATTGCGGGGGTTGTTGTAGTGGTCCAGGACCTTCTCGTGGTATCCTCTGCGCTGTTGAGCTGGGGCGGGAGCAGCACGGCGGACGGCGGGTTGAGCGGACTGCAGGCCGGCGAGGGGAGAAAGGGTGCTGCGAGTAGCGACGGAGCCGACGCGGGGAGCAACGGTGACTAGGCGCTTGAACATTGTGGGATTTATTGTGATGGGTATATTTGATGGAATATTGGATTTCACAGGTGATATGTGTTAGGAGGCGAAAAAAGATGGATCTGATAGGGAGAAGGTGATGAATTCATAAATAATCTGATCGGGTCTTAGATAAGCACGCTAGTCCTAATGGAGTAGTTTCTTTAGCCCGGATCCGCCGGTCGTCGGAGATGACAAAGATGACGTTCGTTTATCTCCTTCCTCGGCCTTCGATTGTGATATTTAAATGATGCGCCAGATGGGAAAAGTTGGGGAATTATTTCTCTGTGCCAGTTAGAGTGCGTGCTGGTGATATCAGTTCTCAGGGGTGGCGACCTTTGTGCACCACTCAAGTTCTCCGCGGTGGACTCGCCCGGTCAACGTCTTGTTTTCCGCCTTTCCTTGGGCCAATTGTTGGGCGATGATATCAAATAGTGGAGAGAAGTGATAGACGTAAAATCAACCATGGCGATCAATTATCAATTTGATGTTCTTCTGTATTTCGACCATTCGAATACAATATACATTGGATTGAGCTATTACCACATTCTTCCATCGAAATTGGACAGACCTTATTCCCGCGGAGTTACATTCGGAGACCAAATCGGATTATAGTTCCATTCCTCGGCTTATTCCAATCGGGATATCCACACCCGAATAAGAAGAAAGAAGTACGAGGCTAACCGTATCTATCCTTTACGGCATTGCTCACTTATTATGAGCCAATTTGCTAGTATGATATACCTATCAAAGTATTCGCTTCTACTCCGTACAAGTAAAACAGAACTACTTGTCAAACCCAACCCGCATCTAGATGCAGCACAAGCTCAATGACCAGTCGCTTTCATTCAATAAATCCAACGACAAATCTCAAGCCACAGACCCAATGCAAAGCTAAAAACCACATATGTAGATATGCAACCTACAAGGCCTGACGAACAGCAGACTTGAACTAAATCAGGAGACAAATTAGCAATGAGCAGAAAAGAAAACCAGATAACCCTCTTTCTGCGTAACATACCGGAATAATCTGCGCCTTCTCCATATCCCACACACCAGAAGTGGCATAGATATCCTTGTTAATCAGCTCAAGCACCTGAGCCTCATTCTCCGCAACAGCAAGCATCATGCTTCCCTTGAAGGAGGGAGTCTCGCCATCGGCGGGGTGGGCATTGAGCATTGCGCCTGGACAAAGACAATCCATGTTAGTATATATACATAGGAACTTTCCGTTTGAACAAACGCAAAACACGAAAATAAAAGTGAGTCACATACCACCGGCAACAAAAGCACCAGACGCAACGTGCGGCTTAATGCCCTCGAGGTGGTTACTGAAGACCGCATTAGCAAGACTCATCCCCCGACGACGCACGTCCCACGCTAGACTCCATATTCTGGGGAAAGACTCACGGGCGAACCTCGAGACGCTTCGCCTGCACGCCGGGCTTATCGGGCAGGATGCAGAGGAACTCTCGCTTAGCAGGGGCGGAAGACATATTGCGGGATTGGAACGTTAGAATTGATCTTCTGGGTAGGGAGATTTTAATCGAGGCTGAGGGGCAGGAGGAGAATAAGTGTGATGGCGGGACGCGGAGGAACGATTGCCGCGCGTGGGGGAAAGCGGGGGCTTTGCTTTGGAAGGCGCGGGTGACACGAAGTGACATGGTGAAGGGAATGGAATGTATTGGATTGTGGATTGGGAATTTCTGTACGAAGTATGCAACTACATTGATGTATGTACTTTGTATACCGGGTTTTTCCTAGGGGGGATTTCCTATTTGAGAGCCGCTTATATGGCCCATCAATGAGTAGATGTCAGCACGGTGATCGTGGGTCACGTGCAGCATGATATTTTGCGTGTAAATAGAGAGAGGATGATACCTGGGTTTTTTGCTAGAAGGTCAAGGGCTTAGCAAAGTGACTAGCTTCATTTGTGAACATTTGATGTCTGGTGATACAGCCCTATCTATAACGAAAGACCACAAACACAATTTAAAAGTAGTATCATGTAAAGAAAGGAAGTATAAGCAAGACGATGACCTGTAGACTATAACCAGCCCTCCCGTTGCTAGTTCTTTTTCAGCGAGACCTGCAAAGCTGGAATCTCAACACTAACAGCCTGACCACTCTGATCCAGAGAGAAAATGAACTCGTCCAGACCACGGCCTCCATATTGGAGCCTGTCAAGATCTAGCCATGACACACAAGTCGGAGTTCCATTATCCGCCAGCTCAGTCATATCCTGAAAGACAGCTCTAAAAGCCTGCCTGGAGCCAGACCCAGAATCTTCAACCAGCTGTGTAGGATACAATCGAATACTCAAATCCGCCGGCTTCGCGACACCCACTATTCCAGCGAGTGTTGCACGAAAGTCGGTGCCATTACTAACGAACTCCTGGATATACAAACCAGGCAAATGGTCGTATCCAACAGCAATAGATGAATTGATCTTGGATGCCTTGTATGCGCCACCGAAATTCTCAGCCGCCTGTTCAATAGCGGTTTTCATCAACGCTTCTAGCACGACATCACCGATAATATCCGCGTGCGCGTTGAGATCTGCCGGGGCCTCGTTGTCAGCCGAGAGAATGGCAAAGCCGACGCCGAAGTCAGGGACTAGGCCGAGGTATGAGCTGTAGAGGCTCTCGCCGTTGCCTTCGTTGCTGAGAACTGTGTAGATGTCCACCATGGAGGTGTCGGGGTATGAGCCGGCGCTGTATATAACCCATGGGAATCCGATGGAATTGGCTCGGTTGGAGGTGTGGGAGACTGGTTTGAACCAGCGATTTGTTTGGGGTTTGCTGAGGAGGGTTGAGTTTAGGATTGCTTGGCCGGCTGTTGCGAGATCTTTGATGCTGGAGAAAAGAGATTTTGATCTAGGTTGGAGACACTCTTAGATTAGTGATTAGGATGTGATGGAGAGGGTATGGACTTACGCTTCGTCTCCTTCGTGGCGTGCTAACCAGCCACTGGCTTCTTTGCTCACGGGAATGATTCCTCTGGTGGTTTTGTCTGGTGCAAAAATTGAGGTTTCAGTCATTCCTAGGACGTCAAAGATGTCATGTTGAAGGACTTTGCTAAATGGTTTTCCTGTGCGCTTTGCTACTATGTAGCCTAGAAACTGGAATGCCATGTTGGAATAGCTGGGGGTTACTCCAGCTGGAGCCACACGAGTTCGGTTGGCCATGTGTCGAATGAAATCTATGAAGGGGTTAGTATGCAGAGATAGTAGGCACAGACTTGAATTTCATACTGCTGCTATCACACTTGGAACCATCATCACAGCAAGGCATGTGGGTAGCCTGGCGTGGAGGCAGTCCCGCCTCAACAAAACTTGTTTGCAAAGTCACATCCTTCGAGCAATCTGTTCATGAATTAGGCCCTATCACCAATCATATTACTGTGCAGTGTCCTACTCACAGTCCCTGCCAATTCCAGACATATGACTCGCCAGTTGACCAACAGTAACATCATTCCATCTTACATGTCCAATCATGTCTTGTTCCTTTGCACTGTCAACCAACTCAGGGAGGTACTCGGTAACAGGATCATCAAAGACCTGGTCTCCGTCTGCCATGAGAAGAAGACTCCACACAGTGAAAACTTCAGTGAGCCCACCAATACGATAAATGCTGTCTTTGTTCGCATTGTGAGATCCTACTGAAGACTGATTCAATGTAGGGGCTGTGTGGTGATACTGCCAGAAGAATGGCTCGTCTTCAGCATTCCCGGGGTCGGATGAGAACAAGGCAATGCTAAAGGTGGTGTTTGGCGAGATATCCCCATGAGCACCAGTTTTTGTTGCGACTAGTTTGTCAAACTCCTTTGTGAGATTTTGCAGGGCACTTGCAACAGTTTTGTCATTTGTATCGAGAGAGAATGGAGGGAATGCAGGACCAAGGAGTGGACATGGGGTGAAAGAGAGGGCCAAAGAGAAGAGGAAGAAGAATGTCGAAGCGTGAGGGATTGAGATCATCTTGAATGAATAACAATTGATTTTGGTTCAGATATTTCCTTCATATCTCTTTTATATCCAAGATCGGGTCGGTGATGCTGGTCTTGGCGGTTTGTATACATCGGCTCGGCGATACGAAGCATTGGATCATCGCAATTTAGAAACTCCAAGACCCAGCACTGCTGCCTATTCAATTTATCTCACATTAAGGCCTTTTTTATGAAGAAGAAACTGGGTGAGTGGACAGGTGATTATTACAAATGACAACCTCCCCTCACCTCACTTCACCAAGCTCTCACTTCTACCCTTACACAATTTCCTCACTTCACCGGCCTGCCACTTCCTACCTTACACAACTTCCCCACTTGTGAGCACAATCATCATGCCGAAGAAGCGAAATTCGAAGGCAGGAACAAACAGAAGGGTTTGAAACTGTCAGACGCATTTGGACGACGAGTGAAACGTCATTGGAATCACCAAGTCACTGCTGGTGCAACAACACAATGCGGCCGTCGCGATGCGGAAGGCCACATCGCGGGTATTACTGAATGTGCCAGTCCCAACACCCCATATTGACGCCTATGGTATGGACGGCGCAGACGAGCCGGGCTGGCCCCCCTTTTTCGTCAAGTTAACCAACAAATGGGTTGCCTAACCACAAAGTTTCTCCCTACAAAGCTACGGGCCTCTGTCTGGCGAATCGACTTTACATAGAATGGGGACGTCCGGCGCGACAGACTGAACCATGGAAGGCCCGTCATTGCTTGGGCATACGGCATCCCTTGGGTCACCATTTCCCAATCAGGACATATGTTGGCAGGTTGTTCCCAACAGTGGGGCACACTGCCCTTGAGGACGATTGCACCAAGGACTGGTGTTTCGGTCTAGTGGCCGTTGCCCATTTCATGCTCAGCGACAGTCGGGGACGCAGATTTGTGACGGACGAGGCCATCGACGTTGAATATCGCCTAGAAGCGGAAACCGAGAACTACACTGATGCTATTATCATGGACTTCGGAGCCATCACTATGTTCCTTGGCGATAAATAAAGAATGATGTTGGTAGTTGAAGATTTATAAGGTAGCCCCATGAAATGAAATATTAAATCCATAATCATGCCCAATCACCCATAAGCTGCTCAAACGAAGACGCAAAGAAAAAATCATGAGGGATATGCAAGTCCTCCGCCGAAGATGAAAATAAATTCCCGAGAGAGCCATCAATATGCTCCGCCTGCGCAGCCCCCATAAACCCGTCAAAGTGTGTCGGCTCCAAGCATGACGCATGTTGAAAGTCTTCAAACTTCTCCTCGCCGTGAGAGTTATCTTCCTGTCTATCGTGTCTCCCGAGCCACTTTTCGATTTGAATTATGCGGTTCCTAAAATCGAAGAAAACATCTCGAGCGCCGTTCATATCTACATCAGAAGTAGACAACGCCCCAACCCTCGATCTCAATTTTGATAGAGTATCTAGGAAGGCAGCAGTTTGATGTGGTTTAGAGGCTGCCACGGTGTGTCGATAGGCAACTAGCAAGGCAAATCCTATCTGTACCCATTGCGTATTGTTGAATCCGACTTCCTCGTTGGATGGAAGTTGAATGTACAGATTAAGTATCGAGCTGGCTGAGATAAGTGCCGAAAACGACATTTCGTCTCTCCAGGAGTTAGAGTCAAAGGGTGATTGGGACTCTTTGTTGGTGATGTTAAGAGCTAGTTGGTATAGGCACAGTCCTGTCGCGTGGTATTGTATAGCAAGGAGAACTTCGTTTACAGCTCTAAGTTAGTGTCAAATCCTTTTTAGAGTGAGCCTGGCGTTCTGTTCGGACTTACAGCTTTCGTTGATATCGAAGGGTAGACGACCGTAGAATGCCTCCAGATCCGACTTTATATTGGTGATAAAGAGCTCTGATCCCGATCCAGGCGTTTCCAAATCGAGCCCATGCTTTGCGGATAGGTTGTCGACCTTTTCTGCAATAAATTGAAGTTGTATAACATAACTGACGTATTTGTCATGAGGATACTCGTTGGCTTCATCGAGAGACTTGCAACACTCTTCCTGATATGGGAGACGCAGAATAGTAGACTTCTTTTGCACAAGCATCGCAATCCTAAAGCAAAATAACTATCAGCCAATACCCAATAAGCCCCGGCGGCACAGAAACTTACGAGGAAGATAAATAGTAACATCCCAAGACAGCCCTCTGCTCGTTACTTCCCCAAGAAGGCCGATTAAACGTCCGATTCTGCAGATTATATTGAAGGCCAAAGCGCAACTCTGTCTTCCACGTCTGTGTCTGTGGCGGACGGTCCAACCGCAGATCTATCATGAGGCTTATAGCCAGTTGCAGGAATTGAGTATAACGGTGTGGCCGTGAGTGATAATGCAACCTGCCATATGCTGTCAGACGCAATCACGATATGTATCAAAGTATCGATAGGTCGGGATTTACCATCCGAGGAACACCAACAGTCCTTGCAGCAACTCAAAGGAGATTTCCCCACCGATGACCATGCGTGATGCGACGACTTTCTTGACTTCGTCCCCTAGAGCCCGTTGCAGTGGCATGTTCTCGTACGAAGCCGATGCAAGGATTGCTAGGCATAGGAACGGCTTCTCCTGGCGGAGCTGCGTGATAGATACATCAGGGGGCACAACCACAAATGGGAAGTGTGGGGTCAGTTTTGTCTTGAATGTGTTTAGGTACCTTTCGGCGGTCTGTATGTCAAGAAAGCCTCGGCTGATGATGTCTTCAAGCGCAGCATCGCCGTTAATTAATGATGTGCTGCGCGTGCTGCGCGTGCTCGTGTTGTTGTCATTTTCTTCTAGATCAGCACGGTCGGCCTTAAGCTCATTGATCTTTGACTCAAGAGCCGCAATCTTACTGGCTGATGAGTTAGATCAAACCATATTATCATCACGGAAAGTCTGCTCACCGGTCCTTTTGGAAGCCATTAAATCGACGGCCAGTCTGGCGATATAGACATTTTTTTCCCAAACGGCGGCACCTGCGTAGTTTAGATAGTGTTCTTGCACAGAGAGGTTCTCCGGATTCCTACCGATTACACGCGGCAATATCGGTATCCCGCACACATCGCACCTTAGAATCCGCGCAACTCTGACACGTTTTAGATACGGGAGGCATCGTGTTGTCAGCTCCGATGAAGCGAAACTGGGGCTGATTATAGTGGCGATCCTATAGATCCCATACTCTCTGGAACAAAGCTCGGGGCTAACGGTGCATCTCCGTATTAAGAGAAAAGCAGGGGCAGTATTAGGCGGATCGGAGGCGCCTTCAAACAAAGTGGTTCAGCAGAGATTATATCCTTTGATTTTTGAGCTCGTCTGAATCTTGCTAGAGTTAGGCAACATAGACCTTTCGGGGGTGCGTCGAGATGATTACGATGATTACGTTAGTCTCAGGCTTTTGGCCCCATTTCTTGCAAGGTTATTGCTTTTTTTGCCTATCGGTTTGCAAGATATGATCGTGCTAGGAAATCAATCTTCGATTAAACACTAGTTGTGATACTTAGAGCATACAGCTTGTGTTTTTGCAGGGAAGGAAATCATGCAATTGGTTATATACATGAAACTCGACAGATAGGGCAGTGCAGCACGGATATCTGCCTTGGTTCATCTGCAAGAAGTCTAGACTCACACAGCATCTAAATTTCAACTGAGTTGGTCTGATATCCTGCCTCTCATCTCCAAAAAAAAATAGTCAAGGACGCCAGCTCAGCATATGACAAAATAAGAAAAAGATGAAATGGAAAAGACCATTTGGAGGTGATCTGCATAGCAGAATCAGAATCAAATAGACTTGGAAACAAGGAAACGAAACATGACAGTGTAGACGGTCCGGTTCTCGGTCCCTAATGTAGGTTTTGCGCAAGAAGAACAGATGATCGAGATAGAATCGCTCGAGTGTACATGCCCGGATATACACACATCCCCATAACTCGGGATTGTGTGTAGAAACACAAATTCGGTATATCAAGGAAAGAGGCCTGGAGAATGAACTTTATAGACCTGCGAACCTGCCAAACAACATTTCCCCCCGTAGCGCCAAGGTAACAAATACACACACTCCCTAGAACGCGGCACGAAGATACTGTATTAGGGAAGTCATTAGGCTTTCCGTCGCGAAACATCCATCCAAAAAGAGAAGAAAAAAAGGGAAAAGAGAATGGGTCAAAGAGAAAGAAGTGAAACCCGCGGTGGTTAAAAGCTTTCCCCAGTCGTAATCATCGGGAAGACAACACACGGGCAGTAATGGAGAATGGTGGATGTTGGAGGACGGGGTGGGATCAAAGATCAACTTGATCCCAAGCGAGATTTCCGGCGGACGGAATGCAGAAACTAGAACGCTTTACGGTCTCCAAGGTTGCCGGGCTTCTCGTCGGTATCAATGTGCCAAACCACGTAGTTGGGGAGTCCGACCACCTGGTAGCCAGCTCGCTTGGCCATGCGGGCGAACCCTTCGGTCTCGGCCTGGTTCTCGAAGGCGTATGCGGGGAAGTTGATGCCGGAGCGGTGCACATCGGCCTTGACGAGGATGTTGACACCACCAATTCCGTCAAGCTCTACCTCATCATCCTTGTTGTTTCGCCAGTCGCCCATACCAACCAGGTAGGTGCGGCCAGTGTCGTACTCTTTGTAGCCTTCGGCCAGAACGGTGTCGGTAGGCAGAGACGCGCGCAGGCGGCGGCCCTTGTCGGATTCGACCCATGAGTTGTAGTCAACTAGGAGTGAAAATGTAAGCAACCTGCATAGCACACAGGGCGTCACGGGTATACATACAGCGACCCTCGATATCATGGCCATCCTGGTTGTAACGGTGGAACCAAATGTCTAAAAAAAGTCACTGTCAGCCAGCTGTCCAACGTCGGATCCAAATTCCAAGCAAAATCACATACTTGGCACGAGGATGTCCTTATCGTGAGCCGTGAAATCCTCCAGAATACGCTCGGGACAGTCGGTAATGTCCACATCCCGCCAGTATACCCAGGAATGATCGGCCTTCAGAGCGGAGTAGAGAAGGTAATTCCGGGCACGAGCGATAGCCTTGCGTCGTGGACCCTGTGCGGCGAACGAGTGTCGCTCTGCCACACTCATCTCCACGTCGGCGCCGAAATCTTTCTGGATGACGGTTGCACTGCGGAAGCGAACTTTCTCCTCGGCGTGGTTCTGGATGCGATCGAGTTCGGAGGCGAGGTTTGCGAGGGTGTCGTCTTTGCAGTCACCGACGAGGAAGGCCAGATCAATCAAATCGTGTGGGTAAGACAGTTTGTAAAGGAGGTCGAAGTATTTAGCCAGGTAAGGAGCGGCATCACGAAGAGGGGTCAGGATGAGTACACGTTCGCGGTTTAGGGCGGCCTTGGAGGTAGACTTGATGGGGTTCAGGTTGAGATCGGTGATGGTGGTGGAGTTGACTTCGTAGGGTTCGTGGCGGTTGAAGAGGACGGGGGTCTGGGCGTGCGCACTCCATTCGACCATCTCGTTAATGGACATTTCCATGGGTGACTTGTTTGAACCATAGCAGTAGAAGCTGTTGACGCCAGTTGAGTTAGTATGGATAGTTTCCCGATGCCCCGATGGATTGCGTGTTTTCTTACCTTTGCATCTCTGATGCAGACCTGCTGACACCGCGCCACATGAGGATGAGCAGACCCGTCAAGGCTATGGAGACCAAGAAGCGAGTCCGTGTTAATAGAACGATGATTGCCCTCCATGGCGGCAATCTGGCCTTGGCCGATTTCCAGTTAACACCACCCTTTGGCAACAACATGATGGGAAATAAGGAGGTGTGAGGTTGTGTAGAATTTCAGGGGCGATCCCGTCTCGAACACTCGTCGCAAAACCCCCCGAACGAATGTGGAGAAGAGAGGAGGTGAAGAATGGTGAAGCGAAGGGTTGATAGGGAGAAAACAGAATCGGGAATCGGGGGAAATGCGATTGCCTGCCAAGAACGGCTGAAATCAGGAAGACAACTACATTTCTTTCCTACAACATACTATTCTGCTATTCTACAATATGATGGGCATAATTGTAAGTACATATGTAGATATTAGGTCTATTTCACTGTTCTACTATTCTGCTGATTCAAATAAACATGTCAAATTATTCACTTTGTCCCCCAACACACCAGTTTGACAGCCGAGACCCTTTTTATTTTTTATTTATAGCCTTGATCGTCTAGAACTCTAGAACTGCACTTTAGGGGGCTATTGGATACTAGGACACGGGGTTAGGGCACGGGGTATATCACCGTCTCTTCTTATTCTGTTGCGCAGGTACGGAGTACAACTCAATGTGCTGTACTCCGTTGTATTCCATACCCCCTATTTACATATGTAGCCACTTTTCTGCAGGGATTGCGTGTACACATTTGACACGCAGTACTTTTACAGTCTTATTTGGTCTGAAATTTCAGTCTCTCTGTTACTTTTAATATTAAAATATGTAATGTTGTAATTATGTTATTTTTCTCTCTTTTTTTCTCCTAAAATTCCATTCATTTCAAATTAATTACCACAAAGTACCAAAAAAAAAGAAGGAATTGGAAAATGACCATGGGATCTCCAACACGAGGGTAAAGTGAGACACGGCCTGGACTCAATCCATATTTTATACAACATATAGGCACAGAGGCACCTCTATTTCTACAATTGAAACCATGACTAGTATAGTTTTGAACTGCTGAGAAAGAAAAAGAAAAAGATTCAATCTTCCTTCTCTCACAATCCATAACACCTCAGAGAACACTTGTTTGTCCGTTTCAAGTCTGGTCTCCACCGGCTGACACCTGAGACGGCCTTTGATCGACACCTGATTCGTCCCCGACAAGAAGAAGAAATCCCCTATTATATCGCTTGAAATATTATTGTTTGCATTCTTATGTCGTAGACCCAGTAGTTATTTAAGAATATTTACGAAATGGTTGTATGTTTATGCATTCCAACGGAAAAGGGGGAAATGTATCGCTCCTCATATTAAATTCGGTGTCTTGATCAGCCTAAACAACAATATATATCACAGTCTACGTGGAGCGAGGGGTTACACTATATCTACAGTTTCCAGACTACAAGCCTGGAATTCATCACTTGCTAAATGGCTGTATTATGATTGAATAAATACATCGGAGCCACTTTTCAACGAGAAAGTGTGCTAGCTCTAAGAGAGCATAGCAAGATAGCCAGTGCAAGAGATAGAATTGACATATGCATCATCCACAAATCATATGGGAAATGGCGGAATAGATTCAAATCATATCCAATGGACTTCAACCACTCCAGGTCTGACACTAACGCTGTATATGGCAATTCTCAGCGCGTGGTACTAATATAACTACCGTAATCCTACAGAAGAACATGATTTTCATCGAAGATGATCCATTGAGTCATAGCTATAGACATATAAAAAGAGAAGAAGATGACAAAGGGAATAAAGAAATAAACAAAAGCCAAAATATATCCACCCGAACACATATATCCATATAGTAAACAGCGCCAAAGAACAAGAGACAAGAGAAGAAGAAAAGCCACTATGTTTGTCCAACAAAAGAAAAGAAAAGATGAAAGGAAACCCAGACGCAGCGAAAGCAATCAACAAAGGAAAAGGACTCGAGCAAATCGGGAACCTCTTGTTCATCCCCGAGATCAAAGAAATATTGTTACACAATGCAGGCGCTAATGCACATGGGGTGGGCAGACGACGGAAGGATCAAGCCAACCGGACCGGAGAGTAAGGGAGAACAACCACTGCTGCAAGGGCCTCATGTGAGAAAGAGGATGCGGCACAGACAGAAAGGTAGAGAAGGAGTCATGATATCATCAGGAAACAATGTTCAATATCGGGCGTGCATCGTCAATATCCACTGCGGCTTTATGGAGACGCAATGAGAGAGTGGCGACGGGACGGCGGCGGGAATGAGAAAGATGATGACTGAGAAGGAGGGAAGGCAGGAGAAGAAGGACCAGTCATAGGCGGAGTGGCAGTGAGATAGGAACTGCCGAAGGACTGCGAGGTCGAGCTAGGCATGGAGTCATAGTAAGTAGCGGCATAGGAAGGCTCGGAGGGCATGCTAGCGGCTATCTCATCACAGAGGACCCGCATACCAGGCAGGCCGTTCTTCTTCTGGCGTTT